AACGACCATTATGAGGAGTCCATTTCATTATTTGCATACATTATTTCCATGAATGATTGCTAGTTGGAACGGTTTTGGCATAGGCACTTGCAAAGCAGGTCGTTAGCATGCGTTTTAATCAGGCATCCAATGTCAGGAAACACGAGCGATTGTCACAAACAGGTCTGTACCGAGCGATAAAGGTCATTAGTAGTTCCATTACACATTCCATAATGTCGCGATTGCCACCTCCTTGCAAATCAACATCAAGACAATATGCTAAAAATAGCCTATAGCTCCCATAAAAGAAATAGGGGAAAGTGGGTGTATTGCGCCCTTCTAACCAATTGCGCCCACCAACATTCCCACGGATTCAATGGCATGTTTTGAATTTTGAATTCGAAAACATTATTTTCCCCACTGGACAGTTCCTTTTATGGCCCAAGCTCCCCGATGAAGCCAATCAGCAAGGCTCATTACGCCATCAAAGATGTTACGGCGTTTCTTAGTTTTTTTGCAGTATTTTGTACCGTTGGCTATAAAAATGTGTGATATTTATGTGATTTTCAGAGTGATATTTAAAAAGAAAAGTCCTTTTTCATTATATTTCACTAAAACAGTTAGCTTCCTTCAACATCTTTATGATAACTTCCACGCTTTTATTAAAAAGCACCTCAATTTTAATTGCGCCCATGGCAATTGCGCCAGGGGGGCGCAAATAGAATAATGGTGTAGCTATTGCATATCACGACAGCATGAATGCATCATTAACTGATTGCAATAAAGAAGGAGTTTAATGTCAGGCAGGGGAGCAACCCGCTGTCGTCAGTCCGCAAATTATTTCTCTCGTCAAACTTATAATTTAGCTGCCATTTAGGCTACGAACTTGTGGTGTAATTGACAAAATACGACATTTTCAACATGGACTCAGGCGTGAGAGGTGACAGCTATGACAAAAAAGTAAAAACTGATGTCATAAAGCTGTCGAAACAATAAAAATTATTAATTTTGAGAGAAACGATTGAAAATGTAACCGTATAGGCGCATACGTTCACATATATCTAGTCGGTTACAGTAAACGTTTTCGTTGCACTTTTACAAGCGTACGAACACATGTAAAGTTATCTACGTGGGCTAAAAAACATAGCGATTTACACCTACATTTATTATTTAACCAGCGTGAATAACATTATGAATATTAAAGCAAGCCGCGATGACATTAGACTGCCGGGGTGTATGCATTCCGTCTCATTCGCTTAGCCATGTTAAAGTATAGGGCGCAATTCGGTTCTAATTGCGCCATCCCCCTGGCGCAATTTACAGCAGTTGTTGGCAAATGCGCCCTTTTACATGTTTCTGAAATAGCAGCTGTCAGAAGCAAACGAAACATTCTTAATTGATCGGGATGCTCTTAAATCGTAGCCAATGAGTTCCTCTTTGAAATGGTCACCAATGCATGCTTATATCTCCAGCGGTTTTCTTACAATCAGCGTTTTTCCTTAAGGTGGCGCAATTCACCCTCCTTCCCCTACAGCAATAAAGCTAGACCGGAGTTAGAAACCCCACAACATCAAGATTGCCTATAAATGTTACATCCACCAATAGAGAGTGGCGTGCAAGAATAGCTGTCTGTTGGCCTGCAGCTGTCATTTATTCAGTGTTCGTACGCCGTAGAGTTAGCGAGATCGATGAACCACACGCGTTAATCGATCTGCCCTGGCACGCAACCACCCGTCTAACTAAAAACATCAACACTGGGGCTGTTACAATCAAAGGGACTGACTGGACCGCACTGGGGGCATCCCGGGACTTCAGGCTGGGAAAAAGAAAACCACTTACCCAAACGCGCTTTCGTGTTTGCGGAAGGGAGTGGCGATTTTCATATAGCCATAGACCGCTGACTGCCATATCAGTTTCGACAGCGAACCTGCCATCGACGTGGATAACTCAAATTTCGTTATAGTCATTTGGACGAAAATAGATGGATGACGAGCACCCCCTCGTTTCGCCCGGCTTCACGCGTGAAACGACCTAGCCGAGAACGTGCATATTACTCGTATATGACGCAAACGTAGGGACGGCAGCGGACACAGCAGCATGACAGCTGACTCAAAGCGACGGTGCTGAATCATAGTTCAATCATAGTGAATAGCGGGCATGGTCATAAGCCCTGCAATATGCCGCACAGGCTCGCTAGCCCGGTCTGCCGCGCTGATGGCTGTTTTATGATCGTACGTACCGTAAACGGAAAATTAGGGAATGAGTGGCGGCGCATCAGCTCCACGACGCAGCATCGGCATTACAGAGCGTTTGTGGATGTCGCACAGCTTGCAACATACAGCGGCGTAACAGCGAGCGAGCTGGCGCGGGTACCTTCGTACTTACACCGCGTGAATGATCGTCATTCATCAAGAGCGACGTCTCTTTTGTGTTATTATTTGTAACCCAATGTCGCTACGAAGTGGCCACGCCAGCCACTTCTGTCGCCGATGTAAACATTCTTTCAAAGCTGGACAGAGGCAGCGCCAGTGGTTTCTTGTGTCATAATGAGCTATGCGCTCGCTTAACCTAAATAATATCTCGAAGGCATCACGCCAACGCCGGTAGTTCACTCTCTAAGAATGACCGTCAACATTCAGCAAAACAAGCATACGTTCAGACTTCAGACGCACGGCGACTGGCGAGGTCCAGACGGGTGCAAATTTAGTAACAGCAGCAGGTCCCCGTGCTGTATTTTGCACTTTTAACGTCATCCATTACCAAAGGCTGTTTGTTGACCGGTGCTGGCGTACGGGAGTATTCGGCTGGGTACCGGACGGTCGCAGGAAACATTACTAGCATAGCTGTACGCATCACGGTACCACCGCTACCGTGACGAACCGCGTGTTCGGTATCACCGCTCTACCGGCACCGTCAGCGGCAGACGCAGCCGTCACGAGTCGGACAGCCGCCCGACCGTGACGGAGGCGGCGTCACGGTCATTAGATGCGCCACGACCGTCCGTCACGACACGGCCAGGCTCGGTGCTCGGGAAGCCGCCACCGCTGGGCGAGTTTGGGTTACGGCAACGAACTCTGATTACGGTAGTCCCCGCTGACCGGACATGCACCGCCGGACGAGGGCTCCTTTTTTGTGTCCGACGTTGACGTCTCACAAAGCAGTGTCGTGTCCAAAATTCAGCGATCCGAAATGATCGGGATCCAAGGCAAACATCACATAACAACGAAGCAAGTCTTTAAATCTGGGAGTTTCTGACTAGCTTCTCTGACAACCCAGGTCTATGTATGGTTTTAACGCCACCCGAGGGTCGGAACAGGTCAGTGTGGCCAAATTGGTTTAGCGTTACGGGGAGGATGTATAAAAAAGTCGTATGAGGATGTCACTATTTAAAAAAAAAACTCGTCTTCAGTGTCACTTAAGGTGCAGTTTTTACAAGTTATGTGGAAAAACTATACCTGACGACAAGCTCTGGTGGAAAGTAAAAAAAAGTCAAATATTGTCATCAAAGATGTAAAAAAAAAAAAAAAAAACATTGCAAGCGCGACAGTACGAGTATGACGGTGCGAATCGTACATTGGAACATTTTTAGTCTTTATTCCTACACTAGGTATGCTTTCACAACAAAAGCGTTGTGATGATATAATTTTCAAATTTCTGAGGATGTCATTAAACTTTTCATTGGGGGTGACTTTCCCCGCAACATCACCAATTTGGCCACACTGGAACAGGTGAGATAGCGACACTAAGTCACCAAGTCACTCCACCACCGTCTCGGAGGTCACGAAAGAGCGAACAGCGTGACAACATCGACAAATCGACCCCGGTTTCGAAGAAAATGGGAAAGGCGGGCGCATCAAATTTAAGCTGCCGTTTCAAAAGTATCCGCCGAAGCCAACGATGGTCTCAGACTTCAGAGCAGCCTTGGCGGAGGAGCGACATGGGCGTCTCGTATCGAGCCCTCATGCTTATTATCGCCGTTAGCTGGGATGTGGTCGTCGCTATTGGCATCACAGGCGCACAACGATTCTTACGACGCAAACTGCGCCAACAGCGGCCATTAGCAATCTAGCGTCTATCGCCATTTGCCACTAATATTGCACTAATGAATACTCAACCACACATCTGCGATACTACCAGTATAACGCCTTTGGGCGGGGCGACCAACGGAGCGACCGAGAGGGTGGGCCTTGCACGTACGAAATTGCGAGGGGGTACCTCCAACTCACTTGTGTACGGCACCCTACTAACCGGTCTTTAGCGATGCACCAAATTTGAGCACAATCGGCCCAGCCGTTCTCGAGATCTGGAAGCGGCACATTGCACGTGCGCACGTGCAAAATGGGTCCAACTGACTTGTACACGGCACCTTGCTAACTGGTCCCTAACCGTGTACCAAATTTGAGCACCATCGGTCCAGCCGTTCTCGAGATCTGGAAACGACCCCTGCACGTGCGCACGTGCAGCAGAACCCCAGCTCTGGCACATGGATAAGGCGCAGTGCCTAGTGGCCAGTGGGTGCCTACCTACATGCCAACTTTCAGCGCAATCGGCCAAGTAGTTACCGAGATATTGCAACTATTACAAAACTGAAACCTCTTCGTTTTGCACGTGGCACGTGCATAAGGGGTCACCCACATGCATCGGGAACAGTCCAACACTTGGTAGAAGGAATGAAGCTACCCTACAAAAATTATCGCATGTAAATCGGTCAAGTGGTTGCTAAGCGTCGCAAAAGCGTGACCACGGCCGGCCGGCCGGCCGCTCATACTCAGAAATTTCCGTTATTCTACGTAAGACTCCGCTCGCTCCGCAAAAACCCCCTTTTTTGCCTTGAAACTCAGAGACACAACTCAAAGAAACCGAATATGGAAATGAAATGGAGACTATCTAAGAGTTATGTGCCTTTTTATTCTGGCATTTAACTGGCTAGTGGGTGGGGGTGGTGAGGTGGAAGATGGATGGTGGGTGTTAGTTAGGTGTCGGTAAATGCTCACCGGTGTGTGATCGGATTAAGAGCTCACCTGTGGTGGGTCATTGCCCTTCACAGACACGTAGTAGACGATGCCAAAGCACCAAACTGCTGCCACCAGCAGCAACCATTTAAAGTTGCGGCGGCACAGCATCCGTGATGGCAGCATGGCGACCAGCTCTGAAAGAAACATTCCCAATATGAAACATTGACTCACTTTGTGTGTGTGTTTAACACATGCCCTGCAGTAAGTCAGTGATTTGAAGATAAAAGTGGAATGCTCACTAAAACTCACATACAAAATTCCAGTGACTAAGTCTGCATAATCTAATTTATTTGTAATTCATGGCCTTCCCAAAACTAATGTTTAAAAAGCCATCCTAAGTGAAGCCAAGTAGAAGAAAATATTATTGAACAAAACTGATGAATAGCTGACAAAACAGATTATCAGCATGCAAGCAGAGTGAAATGACTTGTCACATGAGAGCCCCGCACAACCAGGTTTTGGAGCCCACATTCGGCAACAACAATTGCCGTACTCTAAGTGCCACTGCTCAGTACCTGTTGATGACAAGCAGAAAATACAAAAATACCTCATTTTTCACACTTGTGTCAATTTTGCTGCATCAATAATCGAAAATATAAATAAATCCCCCTAACATATATCAAAAGTTTGAGAAAGAGGATCAAATTTCGAAGTTTGTTATCACACTTACCAGCAAGCTCTGTGTAGCCACTTATTTGTGACTTATTGTCGATGAAGGGGTGAAAACACCAACTGAAAAACGGTTATGCACAAATGCCCCTTTCCTTCACCCACAGAACCAGAACCGCGCAGCGCACCACACGACGGACAAACAGCGAATGGGAAATGATGCTTACAAGTTACAACTCTTCTTTCAACTTACATTTACGTATTACTTGCGTCATGTTCACTTTTGCTTCAAGGTCGCTGTCAGCTGACTAAGAAGCTTCCATTTTAGATATTTTTTCAGAAAACGAAAAATTCTTTTTAGAACAAATCAGTTATGAGCTTTGAAAAGTGACAGTCACCATTCACTTACACATGAAATATATATTCGGGTGTGATGACTCTAGTTATGTATGAATATTGCATTTCCATTTTGTTGGGAAAACAGCTTAGTAGATAGAAATATTTCAAGTACTAGTGTAAACTTCCTACCTTTCCACCTCTATAGCTACCAGATTTCCAGGGCGCCATCTAGTGAGCAGGGAATTCTCCCCGGTTTCTTTAGGGCAAAACTGAATGTTTTGCATACAAATGCTTTTATTGTTCACAAAATATATTTCAATATATTTTACTCTAAATGAAAAGCAGTCCTTTGTATTGAAAATCGACAAATAAATGCGCGGCAAAGAGCCATTTCATCCCGAGAATGCAAAATAGCGGAATAAGGCGTTGAGTCAAAAGTCAAACAAAAATTCAATAGCAGCTTAGGAAAATGTGTTTTGTTTGAATCATTCAGTATCTTTCTGAATGAAACTTTCCTTTTTTAGTGACCAAGAAGCACGAGTACCTTAAAAGTACTTGCTCCCACCCATCTCTAGGTCATTTCGGATACACAACTCGGGCGAGCTGTGACGATTGTGGTCGTGCGGCTGGAGAGGTCGAGGGTGCGGTGTTCCCGTGTATTGTGCTTGGGGAATCTTATCACATTTTGTGAATAATGCGTGTTTGAATCTGAAAGTCTCTCCTATCAGCTGCATCCGGTTCTGCGACATTTTTGAACCGTCAACAGAAGGAGTTGCTCAAGCTTCGTGAATAACTGGGCATAAGAAAGGTCGAGGTGGGTTTTTAATCAGATTTCATGTGTAAACAGTGTATTTCACACTTGAATATGACATTTTATCTGTGATTGGATTTTATCTGTGATTTATCTGTGATTGGGTTGAGAGAGAGAGACGTACTTTTACTAACTTGACTTGATTATTATGACCAAAAAGATTACCAGTAGACTGGGTCGAAGGTGGGCGGAGTAGATGTGAAATTGGTGATGGGTGAATGAGTAGAATGTTACATCCGTGGGCTGTGTCATTGTGAGCTTTTAATGCATCAATCACAAAAAATGATTTGCTCTCACAGGCTATGAGAAAATTGCATTAATGACCTTAAACCATGTGTTTAATTTCAGTAGGCGGAACTATGGTCAAGCGTACCCATTTTCGGGAACGCATTTTCGTTCCCATATTTGGGAACGATAAACCCAAATATGGGAACGCCATGTAGGCATTATTTAAAACAAGAAAAAGAACCGTTAAATGACGTCCAAAAAATATAAAACGATCGTGAACCACCTGATATTTGTCTCAATATTGTTGGGAAAAAGTTTGATATTGTAAGGCCCATCGTAGTTTCAAATCGTTCCCCTATTTCTAAAGCAGTCCATCATCCGGGCCGCGAGCCCAAATTTGGGAACGCTCTCGTACACTGGCGCTGCAAGCGTTCCTTATTATGGGAACGGCGTACCCAAAATTGGGAACGATTTCACCGACGCCTTTCAGGGGCTCTTTTCATTAACAAGCATCACGTCCAACGCCGCAAATTATTGTTAACGCAACAATCATCAGATGACCTTTCCGGCAAGACCGTCGCATGTTTCGCCCGGTCTTCTGCGCTTTTATTCCCGTCGATCTCGCAGCGGGCACGCCCCCCTCTGCAGGATTACGTAATTCACAACGCTCAGCGATGTTCAACAAGGTCTTCCATACCTATATCCACCGTCCGCGCCGAGGGTGGAGACATGTCAAGCACCTGTCTGTTTATCACCTATAGTTGACGAGCACAAGGAAGTATCCAAAAATGGGAACGCTGGATATGTTACACCCTCTAAACACCTAGTCCCAATGAAAATCTAGTTTTTTCTTTCTTGATGAGTGTAAGTGGCAAAAGGCCTGGTAGGATGGGCACGAGGAATGATCGAAATCAGCATAAAAATTATAAATAAGCCACACAGAGCGACCTATATAAGAGAAATTCCCCCAAAACGATCACGCTTAGAAACACGGAAGACAAAACCACGCTCATGACGCTCCTTATAAAACAACTCTAAACAGCTAGCATCCAAATAAAATATGTCTTTCTGGGACGATAAAATACAGCTGAATAATTTTAAACCACTGAAACTGAGTTTACAACAGTAGTTCGGTAAATTCACTCACGTTCCACGCGGTCGTGCGCCCCGACACCAAATGTCACCGATATTACCCCCGGACTGTCCGCGTGTTCGCTTGCATATGTCAGCATCTGGTGTCGCTAGTATGAAACTTCATAACCAGGCGAAAATTATTATACTTGACCTCAAAATGTAAGAAACGCTTCATTTTCCTTAAAATTGCAAGTTAAATGTAGTATAACCCATGTTTTCACCATTCCGTCATTTCAAAAAATCATTAAAAATATCATTCTACGGTCAATTTCCTTGTGCAACGGTCAGATTAAAGATAATTTTATAGAGACTTAGTAGATACTTAAATTAGCGTGCACTTTTTTGAGACGTGATGCACTAATGAGTTTTAGTGGGCGAACGGCCGAAAAATTACCTTCCGTTCCCATAAATGGGAACGCCCGTTCCCATATTTGGGAACTCTGTTCCCAAAAATGGGAACGTTCCTATATTTGGGTACTCATGACCATAGTTCCGCCTACTGATTTGGAAGCTACTGTTTTGGTAAAATTGCCCTTTTACACCCTAGGCTCAAAATCATTTAATGCTGACAATTTTGGGTACACTACAAGCAGAAATAACAAAACCTAATCAAATCTGACCTTACCCTACCTAATGCATCCTAACCTTACCTTACCTGGCTCAACATGTGGTTGGGTGTACTTTATGCATGTTAAGATGTGTAAAAACTATCATAATTGTCAATGTGTGGTCTCACTTTTCAACGTGAGAAAGATATGTTCTTTCTTTTAATGTTTTGCTCTGTAAGTTTGTTCAGTTTTTAGAGGTTGCATCATTAGGAGGAAATCACCACTGTTACGTATTGATCAATGGTGCATTGTATGAATAATGAATGTAAATAGTAGCTACTAACTCAAATTGCTTACCAGCATAAATTTTGTAGGTCTTAAATATGCATGGGTTGAAATTAGAAACACCTTTTTCTACTGGACTACTGAATGATAGAAACATCAATGATCTCTCCCTTGGGAGAGACGATCTCTGTGCTGCAGTGTGACGCCCCCCCCCCCCCTCCCCTCCCCGGTGCAGATGGCGGACGGATTCAGAGTGGACGGGTTCCGCGTGGACGGCTCGTGGATGCTCTCCGTGTTCGTCACGGACCTCCAGGTCGAGAAGCGGATCCGCGTCAAGGGCGACATGCACGTCGGAGGCGTTATGTTCAAGCTCGTGGAGGATCTCCGTGAGTACAGCTTTGGACATGACATGCCGGACCGGTGATACGACTCCAAAGAGCGATGTCATTGGCGTTCTTTGATAGCTATGTCTGTGATATTATAGGCTGTTTCTGATTCGCGTTAATGGGCTTTTGCGAGCATCGAGTCCTATCCGTTAACTTCTGCGCCTTCAACGCCATACAAATACTGCATTATGACCTTGAGTGCGCCGATTCGGAACAAAATAATCTCTTTAAATGTCACGTTGAATGTCGATGCATGGGTGATTTCTAAGATAGCCAAACTCGTCAGAAAAAGCTCGACCGCGGAGAGTGGGTGTCGCCGATCGAGCACGGTTTGTGACGTCACCAGACCTCATATGACGTCACCAGGGGCGGGGGAGGAGCCGTCTGTATTTAGCACGCGCTCTCGGGCCGCGTGTGCGCCTGTCTGGTGTTTACGGGACCGCGCCGGTTGCGGAGGGCGCCGGGCGCCGCCTCCCGCGCTAACGATGCTGCAAAAGGCCGGCCCCGTGGCTCTGAGTCGGCGCCGATGGCAGAGCGCATGTTTCGCTGCGTCTGCTGTTTTTCTACGGTATCGGGCTACTTATCCGTGCTGCTTCACCATTTTTCTGAAGCGAATATCAGCTTAGAGTTGAACTAAAAAAAAAAAGAAATACAATGTGTGCAAAGCTTTGAAAAAAAAATTGATTCCAGGAAAACCAGGTTATCCAGCTTCTCAATCTTTTGTTGGCGCATCGCGTTTCGCACAGCATCCGCTGTGTATTTCTAAGATGAAGTGGGACGAGCGAGATCTGTTGTCACGGCCCCCTTCGTAACAGACCGAGCACCGAGCCTGTCTGACTGACGAGTCGCTTCCTCTGTGGTTCGCCGACGGCCGGGTAGACGGAGACGATGACGTCACGCCATTTGAACCAGGCCGCAGAGGTCACTGCGGCCGTTATAGCGGTGAAATGTGTCAGACCTCCGAGCAGCGGAGAGGTGATGACATCATAAAACGATAAACCGGTCATCAATGTATATTTCCGTAAGATGGACGTCTATAAATTTACGCCCATCAGCTATTTATCTCTTCAGTTTATGCTGCTAGGAGGCTGTATCCGCTTCCGTCTAAAAGTATTAGCTTATTTCATAGAAAATTAATTTTGCTTGCTGGAAATCGCAACCGAAAGCCTTCTGTCTTTGCAAGTTTGGTCCCAGTTATTGCAGTTTGACTTTCAAAACTAAAGTCGTCGGTTGGTCGCTGCCGCAGTAGGGTCTGAGTTTGCCGGACCGAGTTGTCACAGATTCACAGAAAGACGGCCACTCTCCTCACCCCACAGTCGTCCCCATCACTTCCGGCGGTGTTCGACGCCCCGTGTCCCGCTCGGTGCCGCTGTCTCCGGTGCCGGAGGCGCTGCGCAGTATCGCCAGCGGGCGGAGGAGCGGTGGGCGCCCCTTCCTCCCATCTATTTCCGCCCGGATCTCGCGTTACGGCGCCGGAGGCCGTCAAGGTCGGGGTGGCGGCCGCGGTTCGTCGGAGAGGTGTGCGAGGGATGCGTGACGCGCGGGATCTGCCAGGGATGGTGTGTGCGCGAGACGTCGGTAGAGCACCCCTCTCCCTCCTCTCCCCGCCGGAAGTGAGTTGCTCGCCCTGTCCCCAATCCCGCCGTGTGCCCGTGCAGACACTGTGGGGGCGGCCAATATAGTCTGGAGCTGGCAAAGCGCGAATGCCCCGTAAGGACTCCCTCCTACTGACTGGCGTCTCACGGGATCGTACTTTCGCTCTTGTTGATCTCCGTGCCTCAGTAAAGATAGGCTGTAGGTAACCGATGCAGCCCAGCCTGATGCAGCTTCTCGAGACTAGCGTTTGGCGGAGGACGTTTGGCACAATTCTGGCCGTTCCGGACGACGAGAGATGGATGTGCCACATGGTGTCTATCGGCTGGTCCGCGCCCATCTGGTCTGCCTCTGAGACCCTTCCGTCGCCCCACTTCCACCCCTGCTCTCCCTCCCTGACTCTCTCCCTCTCTCCGGGAGTATTGGCCGGACGTTGGTGTGACGCTTGATTGATAACCGTCCTAGTTCGAGTGGACTGATTCGCTCTGTGCCGGAAATAGGGGAAATCCTGATAAGGTGCAATACGATATTGCATCAATGGTGTTTCACCTAGTTCGAATGGACTGATTTGCTTTGTGCCGGAAATAGGGAGAATCCTGATAGCGTGCGATACGATATTGCATCAATGGTGCTTCATCGGATCGGCTTGTGATATTGGTGACTGATGGGGTTATTCAACCAGCAGTCGCCCACAGTCACGGTACTCGACCATTTCGGGCGGAGCTGAGACCGAGCGGTATTTTCTGCAGCCCTTGCTGTGTGAGCTGGCTCGACCGTGGGTATCCGTTGGACCCTCTGCAGCGGCTGCTGTTGTATCCCTGAGGGACGCCCGCCACACGCGTGCGGCCGTGTTACGCGCCTGCACGTCTGAGGGCGGCTTGGACGCAACAGTGGTGGGCGTCGGTCCGTGTGATGTTCACCCTCCCCCCCCCCCCCACACACACATATACAGAGGGGAGGGGAGGGGGTAGTCAGCCGTGCTGTCGTGCAGCCGTGCGCGCCGTCGTCGGAGCCGTCGGCCGGCACTCCGGTTGGTGTTTATAGCGCCCTGACACCGCTGCTGCCGCCGCTGCCAGTCCAAACAGGGTGGAGACGCCGTCTGCCCGACTGTGTCTATTAGCCTGTCTGTCCGTCTTTGTATCAGTCTGTCCGGCTGTCTGTCCGTCTGAGTATCAGTCTGTCCGTCTGCTCGACCGTCTGTCAGAGTATCAGTCTGTCTGTCCGTCTCAGTATCAGTCCATCCGACAGTCAGTCCGTTCGTCTGAGTATCCATCACATTCCTCGCTGTCCGTCTGCCTACCATTTTTGTGCGGCTGGGTATCCGGTATCGTAAACCACCGTGCATTCCAACAGCAGGAATGGCCGGGACCGGTGGACAACACGGACACCTCTCCCGATGTCTCCGGCTGCCGTGTTGTGGGTGATTTCTGCGGCGATCACACGTACCGCCGTGTACCGGTCCCGTCGCCTCGTCTTCCGGTGGCCGGTGCGCGCTTGTAAGCCGCCGTGTGCACGCGCGCCGCTGCGACATTTACGACCGCGCAGCATCTGTCTCGGACAGTTGCGCGGTTTGTCCGTTGCGCAATGGACTAGAGCCGCGGAAGTAGCGTACGGTTATCGCTGGTTGTCACCTAGCTGTCGAGTGGCGGCGAGTGGGGCCTCCGGAGAGCTCGACTAGTGCAGCGCCGCCGCGGTCCGGCCGGGCGGTCCGTCGGCCTGCAGTGGTGCCCGGGGGCGGCTCCGGGCCGTACCGAGCCTGACGTCACGCCGACTGACCTTGGCAGCCGCTGCGCCGCCCGGCCTGTGTTCCACGCCGGGCCTGTGCTCGCTCCGTGTCCGAGCCGCCTGATGTGAACTCGACTCGACACCAGCGAGCGGCCGACCGGCTGGGCGGACCGCCAGCTCCGTTGGCTGGCTAATGCCGGTCAGTTTCCGGCGTGCGCCGCGGCTGCGGCAGGCGGACGCGCTGAGCGGGGTGCCTGGTTCGGCGGCCGACCGGCTGGCTGGAGCCGGCCGACCGAGCCGTATATGGCGCTCGGTCCGCCGCGCCGCCCGCCCCGTGCAGCCTGGGGAAGGTCGCTGGTGCGCCGCACTGCGCAGACGGACGGCTGACCACAGAGGGGTGAACGGTGTAAGGGACAGGCGAGAGAGGTGGTCATATTAGCATGCAACCTTTTTTTGCCATTTCTGGAGACCTGTCTTATCCTCTGAATAAAAGATGCTTCGCAAATTTAGCATACGCTGCACTACTGTCTTTCTTGGGAAAAGGGCTTTCCATGTTCCCGGCGCTTTTGAGCGTTTTTTGACGCCTTGCTCGTCACAGGCGTGAAGCTGGTCTCCAGGTGGTTAGTGGAGTCCTTGGTGGCACGACAAGCTCCAGAAATGTAACTCGACGATAAACATCACCCAAATGCCCGCACGCGCGGCGATTCCACCAGCTCATCCAGTCGCTGCGTGGGCCCAGGGCCGGTTTGTAGCCCACGAGAGGTTGTGCAGAGCACTGGCCGCATCGAACACCTGTCCGAGCTAAACGCCTGTAAACAGTGGGCGAGCTTCCACTCCCACGCTACTCGCAGGTGTCGTAACTAATACGTGCGAATCTGTCGATCGGTGACTCCTTACACGGTAGCGAGTGCTCGGAGCGGCGGATGGGTGCAGGTGGTGGCCAGATGGTGGCCCTCTCCGCCCCCTGGTCCCGGCGGCGGCACGTGCACGCTCACCCCTCCTCTCTCTCCCCTCTGGGCCGCCCCAACTCCACCATGTTTCGCGCAGCGCGGCGCCGTGCGACCCCGGCGCCGGTTTTGTGCCGCTCCCGGCTCTGTTTTTCCGGATCGTTCCACTCCTGCGCGGATCCGGTCTTGGGGTCGGACGCCTCCAGAGACGCCCGTCGTGCCGAAGGCGACACTCTCCTGACGATTCAGACACTTGGAGCTGGAGATCTGACGGCCTGGCGTCTGATCAGAGCAGCTATCGGTCGCTATGACTGCTGGGGCAGCAGGCGGACCGTCCCGATCGCGGCAGGGCAGGTTCGGCAGCGGCTCGACCCGGCAGTGATTGGCAGCTGTGTGGGGGCGCGCCGACAGCCGAGCGCTGCTGTCTGCGGGCGCCCACCGCGGCGCACGGAGCACCTGTCGGCTGCGTGTCGGCTCTGACCGCCACCGACCTTGGTAGACTGGGTCTGACCGCTGACCGCGGGTCACCGCAGCTGACCAACCAACCGGGCACGTATACGGTACTTCGGTGAGACCGAGTGGTCCCGTCCCTCGCACTCGCCTCATGACACTGTGAGAGCTCAATGGAAGTAAACGCCGCCACCGTTTAGTCTCACAGCTGTGAGCTCACAACGTTGAGCTCACAGCCTGCGCGCCGCCAGCTGCCGGAGCTCAGGGGCGGCGGCCTGAGCCGGT